TAATATAAGGGGTATTGTCAGAGAGTAGCATCTGTACATAATCCTCCTCTGATCTCCCGGGAGATTTACAGATAATAGGTAGTAAAAGCTCCATACGTAGATCCCGATAGTAAGTACAGAAAAGGAGAACATGACCAACTGATTCAACGTTATCACTATTACAAGGGCAGAGACAATCTGATGTAGGCAAGCCTCGAAATCTCCCCTCCAGAAGCTTAGAAGGTAGTACATTGGGCCTGGCTAGCGTAAAAGCCCTCGTGGCTTTAGATGACATAGTGCTAGCTAATGTTTTCAAATGCTAAACATGCTGGAGCCAGAGCATCATCTGGTCCTACCCCACGGACTACCACCCTGTCATTCTTCAGTTATGAATGACTTTAGCATTATATAATTAACATAAGTATCATCTCAAAAGTAGCCTTCCAGTTTCTGACAACAGAGAATGATAGCGTTAGCTTGAAAGATTGAAATTCTCTCAGGAGAGCAGATATGGAGATTTTCCCAACGGGGCAGCAGAAATCATTCTCTTGATAGTTTTCTTTGTTCACTGTATGCTGGTTATACCTTTGAGCATCAGGTCATTGAGCTTACATTGTCCCCAAGGCATTGAAATGTCTGTGATTAAAATGTCTTTCGTTAAAAACAAGCAGTGTACACATTAAAAAAATAATTTCCTTAACATTCTTAGGGAACCTCAGGGCCTGATCCTACCACAGTGTATGTGGATCTGAAATCCTTACGACATGACAGGTATTGTTGATCTTGTTGTTCCTTCTACTGTTATCTTCATTGCCATAATCCTCATAATTTCCATGATAAAAAAAGTCCTACTGTCAGGCCCTTAACACAGATTTCCTCAATTTGTCAAACTATCTGGTTAAATTAATTTTAATTGATAACTTTTTAGAGTTCTGTCCTAGACATAGAGTGATCTCAGTCAGCTGGGAAAGTACAACCTTTTCTGAAAAGGAGTAGTAGAGAAAAGTTATGTCTTCATAATTGGGCACATTTAAAAATTGTTCATTTTAAAGTTGTCTAGAATACTGGAGTGGTGCTTGTCATTATGTTATAATAATTGCCCTAAAAGTACTTTTGCATTTTGCTGATTTTTAAAATACACATTTATTTCTCTAGAGTACGGCTGGTTGAAAGAGGTGCTCCCCAGAGTCTGCTGCTTTCTGAGTCAGGAAAGGTAATGTCTCAGCTACTTGTGAGTTATCTTACTATACAACCAAGTGCCTTTGAGTCTTGAAGAAATGTCTTCATGTAAAATAGAGCCAGAGAATTAATTCAGTGTGTAATAGAAAACTGCAGGAAACTGCTCTGTGTACAACCTGTGTTACAATTTTAAAAGGTTGTTTCACACTTTCGCTGTATTGAGTGCAACAATGCATTGGTCGAAATCCTGTTGGAGATGGCTTATGCTGGCCTATAAATTCAGTTCTGTATAAACAGTCACAGGAAATTGCTGCTAATCAGTTAGTGAACCTTGTGGCACAGTAGCTAAATTGCAGTACTGCCGTCAAGACTCTGTTCATGACCTGCGTTCAATCCCGATGGGCTCAGGTAGTCAGCCCGAGGTTGACTCATACTTCCATCTTTCCAAGGAGTACTCAGCTCCCAGTGGGTAGACAAGATGCAGGCTGCATAAAAAGGCGACAGGTACCCAGTGTCAGAGATGAATGATCCTCATTATCCTGATAGAGGCTATGCTTCGAGGAATTAGTATATTATACTAATGTGCAAACACAGAAATTACTGAGCTGAACTAAACCCAACCAACCCATGCTCAAAGTTGGAAAAGCTCTCTGTTTAGAAAATACCCTATTAACTGCACTGCATTTAGCAGCACAGATGTTGCATCATACCCAAAGATGCTGGAAAGGCAGACTTTTAAAACTTGGATGCAATATTCCCTCTAAGTTATGTGGCTATGCAGGGGTGCATCAGGGGCAGATATCCACAGCCAGTGTTTCTGCCGCATTGGTTTTGCATGCACGGAGGGTGGAACCCTGCCCAATGGGGCTGAAAATTAAAGCGAATGTTGTTTGGGGTCATTAATATCTGCTCACAGTCCTCTGCAATCTCATGCAGGTTTAACCTCCCCTCCCCTTTTTTTAAACCCTCTTAGATATTACCTGGGGTCAAAGTGATCATTGTTAATCCTGAGACCAAAGGACCAGTTGGGGATTCTCATCTTGGTGAGGTGCGTGCTGCTCTTGCTCTTTGTGGCGTATCAGGTCTGTGTCAGTCCTGCGTGGCTCCCCTTTGTTCCAAAATAGGACATTGCTGATGTGTGTAGCAATGTTAAGGGCACTTGTTTGTTCAACATGTTGAATGTGTGTATGGGTGTCTTTTGAATCTTAAATCAGTATAGGAGGTGCTTTACAAAAATCAATCTGTTCTGAATAAAACTGCCTTCTGTGGCTATGCCTTATGCCTGTTATTTGGCAAATTAGATTCAAATATCTGTTTTACAGACTAATATATAGTCTGTAATATATAGTCTATTTTTATTCCCTTCGGCTTATTTTAGTACAACACATCATTTTCTTTGCCAGCCTTTGTTTGATCCCATTTAAAAATTGCTTTGTAAGTCCTGGGTCTTGTGTTTATCCCTTTCCTAGATCTGGGTGAACAGCCCCCACACAGCCAGTGGTTACTACACAATTTATGATAATGAAACCCTCCAAGCAGATCATTTCAACACCCGTCTGAGCTTTGGCGATGCTGCCCAAACTCTCTGGGCACGAACAGGTTACCTTGGCTTTGTACGCCGGACTGAGCTCACAGCAGCCAGTGGAGGTAGGACAAAACATTGGTTTTTTCCCACAAAAACAGGGTCATCTGATAACAATGACATGACGCTAATATCTGGGGAAAGGATGCTTGCCAGTAACTTCTCCTGTACTAGGACAAAGGTATATCTTCTTCATACCCAAGGTCATGAAAAATAATTTGAAAATAAATTTTTGATTGCTTTCTTGTCCATTGGAATGTAGGAGGAAATTATTTTAAAAAGATAAGGAGCCTCATTTTGTTCCACTGAGAATGATTGAACTTCTAGAATGAGGACATTTCTGTTTTGCTCTCCATAGCATTTACCCCACCTATCTTTATGAATACTTGTATGTGTAATAATGTTTTTCCTTTTAGAACGCCATGATGCACTGTATGTCGTAGGGGCCCTGGATGAGACTCTTGAATTGCGGGGATTACGTTACCATCCAATTGACATAGAAACCTCTGTTTCCCGGACACACAGGAGCATTGCTGAATGGTATGATGTTGCTGGACATATTTGATCCACCTTGGAACAGTGGTGCATCATTGCTGAGCTATGCTGCAGTAGTACCAGAGCCTGAAAGGAACTGGTGACTTCACTGTAATAAATTACTTTGGGGGGGGGAAGGGTGTAAGGATGTTTCTTTTCTTAATAATGTTAAAACGTATGGCATCATCCTCTCTGTGTAATGGGTGATTTTTATTTGGTTCACTCATTACTTGTTGGGCAAAAATAATTTTGGGATAAAGTCTGAAATTTTAGGCAACTAACTGTTCTTGATGTAGTTTTTTTTTAAAAAAATAAGATAAACAATGTAACAATTATTGTAACAAGTCATGAAAATCAGTAACCTGAAGTGAGCGATAGTAATGTTTCTTGTTTAAATACAAGCTTTGAGCAGTACAGAATAGAAAGACTGACTATACTTGCATGATCACTGGAATATGGGCCCTTTCCATACACTATGCAGCAACAAACTTAGGTTCACTAAGTAGTGCACACTAAGCAGAGCAGAGTCAGTAGCCAGTCTCATACACTGTAATATGAGTTTTCTGTTTCCTGTCCGTTGCATTTATACTTGAAGTATACAGTTGAACATCTTAGGTATATATGTTTTTTAAAATATCCAATAATGAAGTACTCCTTCCAGATTGTCATTGTAAAATGATACGTATTGCATACCTCCAACTTGGATTTTAGGCTTTGGAAACAAAATAAATATAACATTCATGATGTATTAACATTGGGATTAAGAAGTGACCATATATGGGGCATAAATACCATTTCAGTGAAATAGTCTTGGAGGCTCATAGGGCTTGAAAGCAAGAAAATAATTCCAAGATTCAGTTGCCAGAAAAGTATGACACATTGCGAAGGTATACCATTTGGGTGAGGATGCATTCATCACTAGCATATTTTCAGGTTGGGAGAGACTTTCAGATATTGGCATAATCCAAAGAGTTAGGCACACTCTATATCTGTAGACTATATCCCTTCAAAGGCATGCAGTTTATGTTTTTTTTTTTACTTTTTCCTAGTGCTGTATTCACATGGACCAACTTACTTGTCGTAGTCGTGGAGCTCTGCGGGTGTGAACAGGAGGCCCTCGATTTAGTTCCTCTGGTGACCAACGTTGTCCTTGAAGAACATTATTTAATTGTGGGCGTTGTGGTGGTAGTTGACCCTGGGGTGATTCCCATCAATTCCAGAGGCGAGAAGCAACGCATGCACCTCCGTGACAGCTTCTTGGCTGACCAGCTGGATCCCATTTATGTAGCATACAATATGTAACTTTGGGAGTGAGGCTCTCACTAGAGTTTACAAACGGTGCAAGGACCAGTGTGGAGAAAACAAACAAAAAATAGAAGCTGGTTGACAATTATTTGTGAGTGTTGTGAAGCTGGACCAAGCTCTCTTGCTTGCCCTGCTTTCCACAGTGGGTTGACAGCACGTTGGACTGATCAAAAGGCAAAAGATGGCAGACAGTTAAGGATTAACTGCACTGCAGGATCTTAGCTTTATGGTCAAGGAAAGTTGGCCTGTGTGATGAAAATGATGGATTACTAAAGCCTTTATTGTAGTGTTAACTTTTTCATCTGTTGTATATATTTGTACTTTTTCTAATACTGTTTTAGGGTTCTGTGAGGGGCAGGTTTATTGAAAGCAGTTGGTAAGAACAAGGTTACGTGAGTCCTACTTCTTCCCTCTATAAACAGTGTGCTTTATAACTGTAAGTTAGCCTAATTCTGTAGTATTCTGTTAATATGGAATCACAATGATTACTTAAATTGTGCCATGACCAAATCAAATAATCCACTGAACTGAAGAATTACTTATTCATATAGATATTTCTTGAACTTAAAAAAGGATTTGCCTATATTTTAAATATGTAAATATTAATATGCATAATTCATTTATTTAGAAAATAGGCTCAAATAGCAACAACATATGAGGTAGCTGTCATTTAAGGATTTTAACTAAGCCCTTAAAATAAATTGTGTGTGTTAGGTAAATAATGCAAGAAATGCAGATGGGTTGTCTTTTTTTTTTTTTTACTGTTTTGTTGCTGGCCAGACTATGCCATAGCATGTTTCTTAAAAAAAAAAAAAACCAGATATTTGAAAGGCACATTTTTTAAAGGCTGATGTTCATAAGCTTTAAAAGCGTTTGAAAGCAAGAACAAAATTATACAGCTCTGGAATGTTTAATATAGCCTCTGCTTGCTCTTGTCATGAAATGGTGTATAGGCAGGTCACCCGTCAACCGGAACCACTCAAGTTATGGTCACTATTAAGATTCATTTCTTCATTTTCTTTGTTGTCCCCAGTAACAGATACTGGAGCAGCTTTCTTTTAAACTGGAAAAAATTCCCTGCCACTCCCCTCACACACTTGCTGCTTTCTGGATGGGACTTGGTACTGCAGGCTTTGGCAGAAGGTCTTCAAAGCAGAGGCAGTGCAATTCTGTTGAAAGGCCTGGGAAATACCTCTCCATGTATTGCAATTATCCCATTCAAAATGACTGACTGGTTTCCAGCTTTTGAAGAACTGATGACAATTGATGCCTTAAAGTGCGCTGGGACAACCACTGTCGAGGAATGCTTTGCCACTCTCCCTGCCTCCACTGAACTGGGAGGAGTAGCAAAATGTTCACATTTTAGTTAGATTTTCACTGATTTTTTTTTTGTTACACCCTTAGATTAGTCTCCAACACTTCCCTTTGCATTGTTTGTTCAAAGAACACTGAAAGCAGATGCCAGAAATGGCAGCAACCTTTCTCGGGCCATTTGTGGTCTATTGTGTAAATAGTTAGAATATTTTAATAATATCTGTTTACCCACCCTTTAACAAAGTTAATGTTTTTAGACATTTTTAAATGAGATATAAATATAAACTAAATGCTCAACTACAGCAGCTATATTAATTGCGACGCTGGCAACTATCCTTTAAAACAAATTCCAAATGTATACTTGAAAATGCTTCTGTACAAACTTTCAAAGTTTTTTTTAACAGTGTGACATGTCAATATTTAGACAGAGCTTTTAAACATATTAACAAACTATTTACAGTTATCTTCTTTGGTCTTACCTACGGTGATGGAATATATCCTGAGACAAAGAACAGTGGAAAAACTAGAACAGGATGGAGGGACTTCCATTGCTTTGAACTGTTGAAATATTAGCAGCTGTTTCTTAGCAGAGACAGTTTGAATATTTTGCATTATCAGTATTTCCACAGTGTGGTGCTGCTATATAAATGAAAAGCCCTCCATCCTGATGTAGTTTACACATGTCATTTGCAATGGTTTGGGAAAGAAACACACACAAAGAGGTTGCTGGCATACAACATGTGGACTGCATAGTACAGATGGGCTTCTGCATATTAATGTCCTGTGTGCTCCAGCCCTTATTTATTAAACTGCAATGTTGGCTTATGATGACATTACAATTTTTATAACAAACCACTTTCTTAATGTCCTTCCACTGACCAGAACCATAGCACATTCCTCTGCCTGCAACTGTGGTGTTTACTACACCAATGTGATGTTCCCCAACTCCACACCCCTTTATGCTATAAATTCCCTGCAGATGTAGTACAGTAGAAATTGTATGTGAGTACAGAGAAACTTGTTAAAGTTACATTTTAGAATCTCTGCTTTGGGATACTTTTAAGTTGTATTCCGAACATGGGGGAAAAGAAATGCTACCAGTCTCCACATATTTTTTCTTTGATTTTATGGTTAGGCATTTATATATATATTTTCCAGTTATTGTGTGACTTTTATACAGAGCATTATCCTCCTCAGATTCTCTTAATTAATACTCCAGGGATTTCAATTCTACTTTTTAAAGATCCGGGACCTCTTTAGCGCTGCACGGTTGTTTGCCTTCAGGTAACTTATACTAAATGGCTGAGATTCCAAAGGAGTGACTGTGCAATAAGTGTTATCTTTGTCTGAGCTCTGACACTGATTTGCTCTGTGTGGCTTTGGGTGTGTTGTTTCATGTTGTCCATCAGCACATGAGATGTTGCAGCTTATACATGAATTCAGTAAATGATGCAGTTCTCTGCAGGTTATGATTGTTGAACGACCAGGAGCTAGCTTGCCTTGCCTTTCCCCACATAACCATCTAATGGTGGTGGCAAAAGGTTGTTGTTGTCTTTAAATGAATTTACACCAACATTGCCAGCCCAATTTTTGAGACTGCCATGTTTGCACAAATTGTGGGATCCAGTGAGCCTCTTTTCTTTTGTGAATTGAAAGGTTTTCTTTTCGTGCAAGGACCTAAAATCCAGTGAAAATACCAGCAGAACAAGGGGATGTTTTGCTGATCTCATGCTCTGTGCCCCCTAATCATCCACAGTTGCTTTTCAGAAGACTGCAGGAAGGAGTAATCAGCAAACAGACTTTCTCCCCATTTTCTCTAGCGCAGGAGCGGAGAACCTGTGGCCCTCCAGAAGTTGCTGTACTCCTATTATCCCTAGCTAGTGCAGAAAGATATTGGGGGGTGGGGGTGGGTGAGGGGAAATGCAGCAAATTCTGAAGAGCCGTAGATTTCTCATCCCAATCTAGTAGTGTCCTGTGGGTACTCTGAATTCAAGATAGTAGATTTTTGACAATGTCCTTTGTTATGAAGCAGTTTGAAACAATTTAACCATCTTTCTTATCTGTCTTCAATAGAATTTCTGATCTTGTTAATTGTGCTAGTGTGATTACTACAGAACTTCTATTCATTTATACTGCTTTTCAGATTTTGGTTGACTGTGTAGTCAAGAAGGATGAATGATGCTTAACTGTGCTGGAAAAATGGTTGCAAACCAACAATATTCATCATCTTTATCCCTGAAGGCATTTTTTCGTTCTGTTGATGTCAATAAGTTTACTATTGTCAAATTCAAATTACAGCAATGTAATTATGTATAAACATTTTTTTATTTATTTGAAATTAGGTTTTAGATATACTTTTTAAAAAAATTTTAACATCTGGCTGGACAGTGTTCCATTAACGCATTGATTGTGTCTCCTTTGTCTTGTGTTAATAAATAATGATGCCTGACAGTTTTTATTACTATCATTAAGTATTTACCCCACTCTTCTTTCAAGAACTGCAGAGTGATGTAGATTATTTTATTAATTTTGCACTTTTTATGTTCTATACAAAGCTGGCGAACAATAACATATCAAAGTACTCCAAGGTAACAGTATTTTAAAAAAATCTAAATCAGAGTTACGGCAGACCAAAACCAGAGATTCAAAAATTGAGATGATAACCAAGAGTTCACTGGAGTGGGCATAGATCATCCAAATTAAAGGCCTAACTGTACAGAGTGGTCTTCATTAGCTTCTTGGAAGCTAAAAGGGAAAACAGGCCTCTTGGAAGGAGGAGCTTCCAAAGTCAGAACACAGCAATCCAGAAAGTCCTGTCCTATGCAGCCACAGACTACGCTGTACTTAACATCTCGGCAGGTACTTGATCCTGATTGTTGCCAGTTCCAGTTCAACAATCTTAACAACTGTACAATGCTGGTACGTTGTTCTCTTATACAAATTGAAATAATTTGTTCATGAGGATGGTCCAAAATATTTAAGAGGGTTGTCTTTTGGTGTACCTAGATCATCATACCAAGCCTGATGCCTTGTGATAAAAAAAAAGTTTGGTACATAGATTCCATATGACTATTAGAAGCTTCTTAAGATCTTTGACTATTTTACTGTGTGCTCAGCATAGCAAGACCCATGCAGGAAAACATTTCATCCTGAATGTCAACCACTTAAAGCAAGAATATTTCAGAAGTCTACAGTTGAGATCAGCTTAGGAAGGTGGATTCTGCAGATAACTATGTTTATGTTTCAGTTCTTCTAGGATCCTGTAGAGGGAAGAGGTCTACAAATATATATTGATCACAGCCAGTCTATC